CGCTTGTCCCAGCTCCTGCCAACCTAGCAGTTCGAAAGCATGCAAATGTGTGTAGATAAATAGGTACCACAATGGGAAAGTAACGGCGTTCTGTGTCTAGTTGCGCTGGCCATGTGACCAAGAAAACTGTCTTTGGACAAACGCTGACTCTACGGCTTGGAAATGAGGATGAACACCGCTCCTTAGAGTCGGACACGATTGGACTAAATGTCAAGGGGAACCCTTACCTTTACCTAAGAACACCAAACATCAACACTGCTGTGAACATAAAGAGAAGAATATATAGAATAGTTTACATATGAGGCAGTTAAGAATCTTAACAGAGACTATTAGTGCCTTCTCAATCACAAATTTGTCTAGAAGCCTTTCCTCCTGGATGGAGGATCAGCATGTATTGCCTTCCAATAACACCATGCAAAGTTTAAACTCATCATCTTTAATATACCACACTGTTCTCATTGTGGCTGCTAACAATATACCCCCTTTGTTTTTGCCTTTTTCACAAATAATGGTAGCTGTTCAAAATGCATTTTCTATATGGCTGCCATATGAGGAGCACCAACTTTCCCCAGAGCTATTGCACTGACTGAAAAATTCATGGCTAATGTCTGAATAACACTGATAAAATAGGCATCTTTTTAAAACAATGAATGAGAAAAGAAAGATATATTCATGTAGAAATCATGCAAAATAGAACCTTGGAATGCCTAACTGATTTCAGGATCACACCCATACATATAAGCTTTCAGGAGGGGACTTGTTGATTTCATTACGTATTTAACTGTGAATGCAGAAATCCAATACATCTGGTGCAGCAGGCATCAGGGATGAGACGCAGCCATTAATGTAACTATGCCAGCACTAAGTATTTTGCTACAGAGTGCATGGTTCTAAGGATCCATAAGTGGAAAATGGCTGAATAGCTCAGAGGCTTAGGTCTCTGGCTGCAAAGCCAGAGGTTAGGAGTTCAATTCCTCACTGTGCCCCTTTGGGAGGGGGCTGGATTTGATTATTCATAGAGTCCCTTCGAGCTCTACAGTTCAAAGGTAGTTATGATCATATTTTGAACCATTTTACTGGCACTAATTTTCTCCCTTTTTTGCCTTGCAGAAAAGAGGTGCAATTATATTAATCAAATAAATGATCAAACAAATATAACTCAGTTTAGATTAGCAAGTATGTCTCCAATCAACAATAGCGGTCTCTAGTTTTGATGTAAACTACCACGCCAATTGGGTGGTATATAAGCCTAGGAAACAAACAATTGATTTTCATTTCACTAAACAGACCGAATGTTAGCTTGCAACTTCTTGTGTAAATCTATGCAAGCCTGAAAGATTTTCACTTATAACATTGGAGCCTCTGCGATACTAGAACTAGGCAGAAATTTTTTTTCCAAATGCTAACAGATCTTTGCACTCAAACGCAAAACAAGTTAATGTACAAAAAAGTTCCTATGAAACTACTGTAACAGGATTTCATTTTCAATTGATGTTTTAGGTTGAGGTCTAAGCAGTTTTTCCTTACGTAGCACCAGCTAATCTTTTTTTTTCCTTAGAGGAGAAACAATCCGAACCCTTATCTATAAAGGTGTTTTTTGCCAGCAAGAGCCAAAACATTAAGAAAAAGAGAGGAGCTCACAAAAATTACACATCTTTTAATGATTAATTTATCTATGCTAGTGCTTTTTTCCCCTTGTGCCCTGGCAAGATTGTTAAGATCATCCTTGAAGGCTGTTCTCCATGTATCACTGCACAGAACAGTGGGATGGCCAGCTATCAAGGAAAAAACCATTTCCATAAGCAAATCATGCTCTGCTTACGCAGAAGGCCCTTTCTCTGGAGAGTTGCCATGCATCCACTCTGCCTCTTTTTCCAGACCAAGACCTTGTCCTACACATTTGATTTGTAATTTCTTTACCAGTTTTGTTGCTGTTTTTTTAAATACAGTGGTGCCTCGCTTAACGGGCACCCCGTTTAATGACGAAATCGCATAGCGACTAACTTTTTGTGATCACTTTGCGATGTTCCCTGTGGGAAAAAATTGCTTTGCGATGATCGGTACCCTGTTTTGCTTACCGATCATCGCAAAGCGATGATTTTTTAACAGCTGATCGGCGGTTCCACAATGGCCACCGGGTAAAAAAAATGGC